TTCGGCGAGCGCGGAACCAAAGAATTCGGATAGCGAAGCGATCGGGGCGGGGAGCCTGTTCGCACGCTATAAATTTATTGGCGGAGAATTTGGGAAAGGCAATAAAATATTTGAAATAAAGAACTAACAGTAAAAGCGCACGAAGTTTCGACCGAACTTCGGACGTCATTGTCAAGCTTAAGAGCGAAGACAAAAAATTGCAGAAGTATAAATATAAAACAATGCGCCGATGTAAAACTATGAAAATGTTTAAAAAGGGTAATTGGTTAAGTCTGCATACCAGCCAAGTGGCCCACCAGGCCGGAGCTTATCCCGGTTTCTGTAGTATGAAGCAACCAGGAGTATTTCTACTCCTCTTAGAGATTCATTTGAAAATTCTTTCAAATTAAACTCGCCTAAAGGTTCGTGCAAGTTTTAGAGAATTTTCAAATATCACTCGGCTCGCGCCGCAGTTTAAATCCTTAATTGCAATTGCATTAACTAAATACATTACCTATACTAATCCCTGCCCCCTTAATTGTAACCACGGTGACCTCTCTCAAGTTATATTTAGACTACGACCGGTTGCAGAAATCCCAGATAAGAAGGCTTTTACTGTCACGGCGATTTTGCTCATATGGATTGTCCAGGTGGCTTTACGCGAGTTTGCATACTCCATGAAGACACAGAAAAACTGGGTACCATGTCTAAAAATAACCTGCTGATGGTAAAATTCTGTTTCATGAGATTTTGAAACATGTCCTTTACAGGACACTTGAGTTGTAAAGTTGCCACTGTTGGTAAAAAAAATTATGTTATATCGCATATCGCACCCAAAACTCATGAAAGGTGTCATAGCAGAACTAGGAACGTGGGAGCCTCCGAGATCGTAAGATATCTTGTCTGGTAATCCCGAAAGTGGCTTCCTGCGGGTACCTACATTTACTCGCGCACTGTAATTAATGTTATATATGCAAGATCAAGATCGCACGAGGAGTGGATGATTAAGCAATAATATTTAAAAACGTTTGATTGGAAGAACTCTTTAGAAAACGTAGAAGAAAAGAACAGCGATACTAAAGCAAGGTGGTGCGAAGGCCTTTTATTGTTGTGTTTAAAGGTGGTTTACAGTTCTGGACACTTCTAAGAACACAATCGATAATAAAATGACTAAAAGTTCTTTTTTAAAGCTCCTGTTTGTTTCTAAACTAAGAAAGCTCGATTTATGTTTGCGCGAAAAAGAGCCATTGATATAAAGCGCTTGAAAACGATTATTTAACCGTGCAGTTTGCGGAAACGACTTCACCGGCGTCTACTCTTCGTGAACCAGCAAAGAGGGCTCATTTCCTGATTGACGCTTACGCCTGGTCACAAAAATAAGTGCCCCAATGAGCCCCAATGTCATGGTACCCAGAATTCCCACAAGCACTCCAATCAACAGGATAGTCTTCGGACTGTCCTTGACCATTTCTTGGGACTCGTCTACTTCCATGGCTGCAAAAAATATGTAGTTATGAGAGTTAATAAATCAAGTAACTGAATTACTGGTCAAATCCTGGTTTACAAGGGTTTTAGTTTTCTGCAAATAAGGTCGATTGCTTTTTTTTTCTCTTAAAACAGGGAATTTACTAGTCCGGCTATTTGGGTCGTCAGATCAGGCAACCATTCTTGTCACGCAACGTCATTCAACGTCACGCAACGTGACTACCCTAATAATGGCTCCGAAGGAGACAACGAATTGACTTGATGGTCCATTTACAAAACGTTTTTGATAATTTTATCTTCGTGGTGAAAGGTTCGGTAAATGTCCACAATTTTAACCTGTAGTTACCTTTCCCTTCATCCTCCTTTATTTTGATCGGTCCGACGTAAACAGCGGCACGTAATCCTTCCGTCACGTCCCTTTTCTTCCTGGACGCATTTTCGCCTTCTTTGCATCCCTTTTCACATTTTGACTCCTGATCATCAGAGCGACAAACAGTAAGCTTACAGTGGATGTATACGTCCTCATATCCTGACTTGAAGCGAAATGCCAAGAAGCTAAAGCTCTGACTGGCTGACTTCTTGTACTCGTACTCGAGGTATTTGTCACTTGGGCACCTGCCAAAAGAAGGTACTTCATTTAGGGGCTATCATTCTGTCTTGAGAAAGTACACCTAGTACAATTTGAACTCCCCATCATTTTAATATTGTTTTTAAGCCATTTTAAGGCTACTTTCTCTTGTTTTGTGTGAATCATTTGCCTAAAACTTTCGCCTTTTCTCTAAACTCTTGCAATCTAACATTTTAATTGCTCTTTAGTGAGTTCAATCACTTTTTGGAGGCATATATCGAAAAAAGGTCAATTATTTCAAGTTCTTAAATCGTAATATTTCATCCTCCTCAATCGCAATTCTTCCTTATATATTCTCGTATTTTAATTACCTTTTCAATGGTGTTTTACACCTTTGAAAACCGTTATTTTACTTTCAAAATACCTGAATTTTTGAAGTACAACTCTTTTAGATTAAAAGTCACTTAAAGTGCCTCATAGTAAATGGCGTGGTGTTTAACAGCTGAGCCAATACTTACGCTTCCTCAATGATTGGATGATCTGGTTTAGCATCGTAATCAGTCGAAGGTGTTGCTTTGCATTCATCCGGAAACACGTTCAGATCGGAGTCACCTGTCTGTACCTGCAGGTTTATGTACAACCGCTGGCCAATGCCAACTAGAAGAGGGTATTTCTCGACTTTTTCAGAGAAATTCTTGGTGGTGTACATGTTCATGATATAAGTAAAATTACCGTAGTTCTCTGTCAAAAGAAACGTTAAACATGGTTAAAAGTGGTTTAACTAAACAAGGTTAAAAATTAGTTGCTCATAGCGTGCTTACCCCACAACTAAACTGGGTAAAAACTTGTTTGATTAACATATGCCGAGCAAAATAATTTGAAATTTGTCTCAGTTCTCAAAATGATTGCAAAGCGTAATCGAAAAATTGGAAAAACCTAAACTTGATCTAGTCAAACTAGTAATTGTTTGGTCGATGTGAATGGTGCATTAGACTTGATTCAAATTACTTATGAAACTGTTATGACAAACCAGATTCTCAGATCCCAGTTTTAATTGTTGTAAAACAGGCTTGTGCCGAAGGCTGGTCAGCTCAGGGGAAGAAAAAAAAAAATCATATAGTGTTTCCGAGCATGGTGGGTACGTCAATAATTATGATTTATTATATCTCTCGATTAATACGCGCGCTGTGATTGGTCAATTTAGCGGGCCGTAATCTACTGTACGGCCCGCTAAAATTTAAAGCTGTTTTTGTTGCCAAAATGTTTCGTGCTTTATCGCTAAGTGTTCTTAACATTTTTAGCAGGGAAAAGTTTAAAACTTTCTTTTACTTCTGAAATTGTGTATTAAAACTTACTAACGATTTCAAATTGACTAGCTTAGCTTTCGAGGTACGTCAGAAATTTGAAGCCGTTCTGTGTGAAATCGTTCCCGAACCCGTCAGAAACCTGGTAGAGATATAATAAATATCTTACTAATCTCGTTTTCTCGGTCCGTACTGTAAGTTAAGGATCCTCGTTTTTTCCCCAAGGCAAGGGTTTACAGCAGGTTCTGTGCCAAGGCCTTCAGTGATATACCTCAAGATTTTAAACCACTTTTTCCTCAATTAGTTCCAATGTGCAATATTCTCCCCCGGTGGGAAAGTTGCACAAAGCCGACGAGGTGATCTATACCAAATTATTAAAAGCTGGATCATTGGATAACGCAATTCAAGAGTTTTCATTGGCTTAGCCATCATGGTATATGAGCCATAATATCATGCTCTAAAAATATGGTAAGTGTATGTGCATTGTTGGGTGACGTGTTTATTTTTATTTCATTTTAGTTTGCTATAATTTGGAGGAGTTTTTAAAAAAAAAAACAATTATTCCACGAGCGCGCGTTGGATACGAGATGGACATAGCTAACGAGGCGTGTAGCGCCGAGGTTGGCTATCTACCTCCTCATATCCAATGAGCGCTCGTGGAATAATTGTTAAATAGCCCCTTTTTTTGAAGGTACATAAAATCACCCAGTATGACCAATTTGTACGCACCTGTCTCGGTTATCATCTGAATACGATTGGGAGAGTAAAACATTTTAGAAAGAACAGCCTTCTTTTTGTAAGAACACTGAAAGGGCAGAACTCTTGTACTTTTCCGAGTGATGTGCTCCTCCTCCTCCACGTCCTCTACCACTGCAATGATCCTGTTCTTGTAATGAATCGCTTTCCCGTCATCCTCCTGTTCAGTCTTGCATTCCTCCAAACCGAACCTAAAGACAGCTTTAGACTCATCTCTATAGAAGGCACCGCAAGCCTCGTCTTCAAGATGAGTCACATTAGTGTCTAGGCCAGGATAGTTCTTGCTTTCTACTGTCACCTCGATGTAGTCGGCACGACACACTACTTCTAGCTCTACACAGATTAGTTGTATAAAAGAAAAAATGTGGGTTTTAATCTTTCTGAATAGCACCCTTTTTAATCCTTAGCTGTCGTTATTGCAATAATAATTATAATTATAATAATAACAATAATACTAATAATACTAATACTAATGATAATAATAATAATAATAATAATAATAACATTCAACTTTATTTATCGAGGGTAGCACAACAATAATAACGAAAAAACTCTCGAATATATTTAAAGAATAAAAAGATGACGTGTTAAAAATCAAAAATATAGAGAGCTCCTCAAATACGCAACGGTAATATCAAAAACTAAGATATGAGACACACTGTAGACCCCTCATCCATTTTGTTTCCTTGCGTGTTATAACATGTATAAATTCTAAGATGGTCTCGGAAAGTAAAAATAAAATGCAAGATAGTAAAATAGCATTGAAAGTGATGATGTTGAATGTTCAGATTAACCTCATGCCACAGGGGCGGATCCAGGATGTTTCAAGGAGGAGGAGAGTGGGGAGGGGAGGTGGTAACCGGTACCTTCAGATTGCAGAATCAATGGGGCTTCTCCCCCAAACGTTGCAATTTGAGAACTGAGACCTAACCCCCGAAATACTAACAATGTCAAAGTACACATTTCGATGAAGTACCTGTCTAGAGTGCTTGCATTTATTTCTGCTATAATATTTACGATCTTTTTCATTTTTTCAATTTATTTTCTTTTTGCTTGCTTCTCTGAAAAGGCAATGGCTAAGTACCCAATCGACCTCCCCCTCCCACACCCTAAATCCGCCCTGTACCATTACTGTAACAGTACTTCTCTTAAACTCACTTGCTGCAGAATCAATCACCATTTCTCCAGCAGCCCCTTCACCGGTGGCATTGGTCGGCGACTCTAAATTGTGATGAAAAAGGAGAAGGAAAACAAAGACAGAATCGGTTAAAACAGATCATATCTCAAAGACTCCCTCCCTCTTACCAAAGTCATTAATTAGTTTCTAAAGAATTTGTCGGGCTGCGTCGACTGGCAAGTGAGACACTTACCTGTCTGTCAACTTGAAATTGATATCGATGAATTAACTGCCTGGGTCGGGTTGTTCGAAAGCTGGTTAACGCTAACCCAGGATTAAAAGTTAACGACGTATTAAAAATGTTTTTCACTGCTCACGTTTTGTGTGGTTTGAGCTTAGTCGAGCTCAAAACTGAAGGACAAACATTATAAACAGAAAACCTCACCGAAAAGTTACAAAACTGAAATCAAAATTCTCGTTAATCTTGGGTTAGCTTAATCGGGCTTTGAACGACCGGGCCCTGAGTGAGTATGCGATACTGACTGTTCGAGCGATAGTCCTTCCAATTGACGTTTAGCTACGTTTGCCCTGATAAAGAGCCAACGCGTGAAACGTCACCTTAATTCACAAACTCGTGATGGTGGTTAATTTACCTTTATCGTCTTCAAATTATTAAGATAAATAGCCAATTATCTCTCTCAAAACTCATTGTAAATGGAGACTGTTGCCTTCTGCCAATTCCTTTTCATTGCATTTTGTCTTTAACACTTTGTTTTGATGAATAGTTTGGGCCAACTGTACTAGGTCAGTCACTCATCTACGTCATAGTGATTTCGGGATTCCTTTATCAGTCTGGAGGCCTGTTTGAGGGTGTTAACGAGAAGGTGCAAGTGCAGGAGATTCATTTATTTTGCATGATATATTTCTTGATACGACACCCTGTCTTTGGAGAGTTCGTTTTGAAGTCGAACTTGAGCCAAATCACAGTAATTGTTGCTTGAAAATCAGAAAGGACCTTGAATAGCGGTTTAATTCCTTTGTTTTTAAGCTATTAACTGAAGTTTGCTGCCACTAAATTACTTAAGTTTTGCCTTTTTTCAGTCTGTATATATGTATACATAGGTGAGATAGTTAATCTGGCAAGAGCAAGAGCAAGGTGCAGCTTAAAGTACCCGATTGTTTCTGATGATGTTTAAATGAACTGACTGAGAATGTGTCTCTGTGTGTAGCTTGGACACACACTCAAACAGTTCAGTTCACAAAGGTAAGGCTTTAGGACAGTAAGCTACATCACCGCAAGTTGTCTTGATTTGACCAAAAATTTCCAATCGCTTTAGACAAGAGTTCATAACTGCGATGGTAGCAGCCTGTTTCTCTCGAAATCACGAAGGGAATATGAGGCGAGGCGCATTAACCTTGCCCCAATGTCACTTCCCAATCTCATTAGAAACTGGAACGAGACATGGGTGGGTTTCTCCACACTGCCCCTTTGCTGGCACACTCGCAACAAAACCGGCAGACAGTAGTCTGTATGACCCGTTTTGGTCGGTAAGGCTTGCTGCGTGATTTTGTCGCTGTTTATTAGTAAAACCGTTGGTTTTAATTCGATTTGGTTGATATTTTACATATTGATTAACTGTTTCAAAAAGAAAATGTTTGAGACGTCTTGCATTGGGAAATTTAAGCCAAATTAAACTAACCGTTCCAAGCGAGTTCGTCTGCTGCTTCGTCTGTTAAACTAACACAACCGACCTAAAACAGTGGTTCCCAATGGGAAATGCGCCCTAAAAGGTAATTAAATAATTGCTTTAGCATAGCAAAATGCATGCTTAGTGTTGTCATTGTTTGGGCTGTGTCAATCACCCGTGAAAAAAGGATTCAATAAATAGTAGTCAATAAATCATCTAACATTGCTGCGCTGTAGGCAACCAGGGTCTCTTCTTTGAAATTATATGCCGAAATCTCTAACGTTATTTTTGCTGCAATATAAACTACGTTGTTCGATGACTAGAGCTGCAAGCTGAACCGGCACTGAAGGAAATTTCAACTTATTCATTCGCCTTAGCGTACTTTGTCCTTCTTGCGTGTACATTGAGTGACTGTTTTTAAATGGAGAACAATAACGCTTTTAAATTCGCAATAAGCCGCCCCTATTGCCTCCGGATATTTTTGTTCATTTGTTTAGTAAAATAATTATATGGAGGCCTTACTGTAGAAAACTGTATGAAATTTGGATTATGACCAAAGTCACATAACTTGAAATATAAAAAAATCTTGTCCAGTTACTTGGTCATGAAAACCTTTTCCCTCAATGAGCCGTTATTTCAAGTTAAAGCACCTTTGAGCAAAAATTGCATTTGTTTCCAAGCTCATGTAGTTATTGTCGAACAAAAGGGACAGGCGGTGTAAATTAAACTTGGAAGTTGTTCAAACTTCGATAACGTAAGGCAAGGAAAGTGCTATTCAACGAATTCGACACCAATATGACGTTCTTGCAGAGTCTTCTCGCCGAGGAACAGTAATGGCTGACATTTATTTACAAAATGGAAGAGAAAATTTCTCGAGACAAGCGCGTATTTCACTTCCATCCACTACATCCTATGCAATCGTTTGTGCAAATAAAGTACCCCGGGAAGACGCGGAACGCCAAAAAAAGATAGATCAACATTGAAAGTGAATTATTGTAATAATATATATCATAGAATGATAACCATGGCTGTTAATTGGTAATTAACGAGCAAACGACTTTCCCGCCCCTTCGATTACAGTGTCAATTAAAACAAGCCAAACCGGAATGTAACTGGAACTCACCTTGAGCAGCTGATAAGTTGAATACCACTGTAAGGCTTAAACCAAAGAGAAGGATTTCCTTCATTTTGAAAAGCTGTGAAGTTGATGCAAACTGAACGAGCACTGAAAAAGCGAGCAGTAAGATGAGAATCACACACCCTGTTTTATTAGCTCGTATGTCTAGCTGCGCATTACCCATAATACCTTTACTGCTACGGTATTGTTTTCTGTCAGCGTGAATACTGTGCAATACGGTGGCCACCATGAGGTTTTCAGACACCAAAACATATTTAATTTGTACAGAAAATTATGCTGTGGTTAGAAACATGCAATGCTACAATTAACCAGCGCCGCAAGCTTCTTTTCTCACGGACCGGAAACGATTCCATTCACGCTGTGGTTATAAAAAATCATCTTTTGCTGAGCTATTTTTATAAACCCTCCTTTTACTGAGGCTTTCAGATCGCATTCCTGTTCTTTTAGTCCTTTAGTTTAATGTTATAGTCGAAGCATTCAAGGCAATAAAATACATCGATTAAGGATGACTTCATTTGATCTGTGAAGCAAAATAATTTGTCTTTCTCTGCACTGCAACAAGGAAAATAAAACAAAGGATCTACAACGTA